TATACAATACACTGTATGAAAATAACATGATTAATGAAAAGTAAACGCGTTTACTTCTGTGGCCTTTACTAGTCTAATGGTTTGAATACGATAGATGCAATTTAAAATCTGATTCGATAATCATAACCAACGTTAAAATCTACATAGAATTCTACAATGTCATTATCATATCAATAAATTAAGTCAATTTAAATTTTTCGACAAAAATATTTCTAAGTCGAATAACTCGAAAATTATTTAAAATAGACATTTACAAATGTTATTTTCAAACTCAGCGTCTAATTCTACATAAGATTACGAGTTGACCCGACGAGTCCGGGTCCGAGTGAAGGGAATAAAAGTTCTGTCCGTATTGTAATGCCAGTTTACCAACAATTTATTTCAAATATTGATTTTAACAATAAGTAAAAAATTTATTTGAGTATTCATTGCTGTTATTTTATTTAAAACTTCTAACATTTCATTAATATTAATAAATGTTTCTTATATCATCATTAATATAAATGATAATTTGTGTTTCTTAACCAAAATTGTAAACCATTACCAAAAATCAATTGAGATTAAATAAAATCCACAATCTAGAAAGCAAAACTATGATGATCATTTTTAATATAATTAACATGCTGTGTATTTACTCTGCGCCCGAATTTATACGTTTTGAGAAAAGTACACACAAATGTTAACGCTTTTAACGTCACAGTAACCAACACCAAATTAATTATATTTGGCCAAAATTCATCATCGTCAATTGACATGGCGTACAGCACAGTGGACATCTGGTTACCCTGGCAACGGTCAAAGCCGTATATTGTCATCATAAGGCATTCGTAGGCCAGACGTATACAAGATAATTGGCTAACCGCTTGTAACGTATAATGAAGTTGTTTCACCGAGATTAGATTGTTGCCCAACGTTGCCGTCACAACAAATACTATTATGGCTAATGTGAGGCCCAGTTTAGGCTCATTAACGAACGCCAGGGCCGATAATTGGGCAACACTTTGCATACACAATATTACTAGCAAATTGAGCGCTACCGTCATTACATAGTGTGTATATGTATTGTATAGGTTTGCAATCCAACAGAACACTGGCACCGATATGAACACCGGTATCAGGTCGACGATTGTACGGCTCCATAGATACGCACCGGTGCTATACCAGCCTTTCAAATTAAACCCTGATTACTTTACCACGTAGTATCTGCATAATGTACGTACCATTATGTTGTTGGCCACGGAATACGCAAAAGTCGGCTCCAAAAGTGACCGACATTACAATTAACGCGATAAACGCCACTATTAGGAGTAACATAAAATTAAATTTCATATTATGCTTAATTTGTTTCTCGTCATAAATATCGCGCTCGTTTTGCGTACAGTCGGCGCCAAATGACAGCTCTACGCAACCGTCTGGCGCTATCATGTCGTCACTGGCCGTGTATACCATAAGCAACGCCAATGACTGCAATAATATAAACTGCAACAATTGGGACACCCATTGGCGCGGTCGCTGCCATCCGTGGCTTATCATACGGCCCAACAGGTAATACGTGTCCCGCACAGCGAACCGCTTTGATATACTCGACGGTTGGGCTATTAAACGCATGTTTGCCGACAGTATGTTTGCGTCTAAATGCACGCCATTGTCATACGTGTGGCCGGTATTGACACCAATGGTTGCCAGTAGTGTCGTATCCGATGCCACTTTTATTAACACATCGATAGGCACCTGACTTTCCTGACATTCGATGCCATTGTCTGCGAGATGTTGTCTCAATCGGTGCGGCGCTCCTGAATACAGGCAAACCCCTCCGTTGGCCAACACATAGATGCTGTCAAACGTGTGAAACAAATCGTAATTTGGCTGATGTATGGACGCAATGATTGTCATCCCATGCTTTCGCGACAACACTTTTAAACAGTTTATTATCTGAAATTCAATAAAAAGTATATGTGTTATAATATAGTTTCAATAATTATGCAAACTAAGTAATAAATTAATTATTATTAACACATAAACTGTTTAATATTGTGATGACTGACCACTTGTGCGGCATTACTATCCAAACCACTCGTCGGTTCGTCAATGCATAACATATTGGGCTTTATATGTGAAGTCAATTCACAGGCAATTACTATACGTTTCTGTTCGCCTCCACTACACGTCTCGACCCAATTGTCTGCCGTATCGCCGATCGCCAGCTCTGACATCAAATCCGTCACAATTTTATTGTGATTTAATTCAATACAAATCCCGGAGTTCTTGAGTCGCGACGCGTATAACAGTGTCTGTCGTACAGTCAGTCCCGGCAACAGGTGTTCCCAAACCTCTGACATTATAAAACAAGTCTTATATCTGAGTCTATTCGTGGCGTAAAACTTAGTGTCGGTACTTAACCCTCGGTTATTCTGGCCGTTGAGACATTTTAATAACATTGTTTTCCCGGCACCCGACGGACCCATCAAAGCATTTAGTGAGTTTACTGCCGCACAGCCGCTAATATTATCTAGTATAATTTTTGACAACGAACAAAGTTTAGTAGTTTTAACATGTAACGTTAGATTAAGCCACGCAATAAATATTTGATCGCTTTGTTGTCCATAATTAATATTTATATTATTCAATTCAATGTTTAGTTTTGTATTATTCGGCGCTACATAATCAATATTTGTTTTAGTAAATTGATTATGATATTTTTTCCAAAATAATTCAATTTTAATTGACCTGCTTGTTTTTATAGTGTATGAAATATACTGGCATATTAATAGACACGTATAATAATACATATACCATCGGGCGTATTGTTCAAATAATTGTTCTGGCTCAGAATCTATATTATATTCAATTAATACTTTACTATTATAATCACGTGGGCATCGATTGTATCCATAACTAAGTATTAGAATTGAATTATAAAAATACAAATAGCAGTTAAAATTTGACAACGATTGTAAAATCGGCCCTAGATCGTTTACAGGTATTAGATAATTATCAACAATTATTAATATCAATGTTATAAAAATTGTGATTACAAGTGTAATATTTTGATTTTGGTAAAATATTATGCCAACTATTGATGCCATTGATTGTGTACACAAATATGTCATTAAAATGACATATATTAATTTATATATCATGTACTGGCCGTCGACAATATCTGTATAATATTGTAGTATAAAAGCATAGATCAATGCGTTTATAATAATAAAAATTGTATCACATATATATTTAGACCAGAAATATAGATGTGGATTATACCAATCTGCAATTAAATACAAATGTTTACATTAAATATTACTTATATTATAAACTATTAATAATTTATGCATATATGTGAGCAAAAAAATTATAAATTGTGACATGTTTGTAGTATATTTATAAAATTAATATAATAACCATCTCTCTTTCTCTCTCTCTCTTTTCTTCTTTCTCCCACACGCTAACACACACATAAATTAAACAGTTATCATGATAAATTGTTATTAAATTCTAATCCAAGCTTACTATTGCTGTTCTCCAAAATAATAATTTGCATATCGACGCCATAACCGACGCAAATAACGCAAGCATGTATCCAAACGGCTATTATTAAGGTTATTTGTAATAATGTTTGACCCTGGTGCAATACACTTTTCTCATCCTCTATTTCCATACAGGTTTTATTAGTCTGTCCGCCGATATGTACGCAACCATCCGCTCGACCGATGTTTTTATTAAAACAGTTCGCCATAAATATAATACTGCCAATGAATAGCAATAGTTGTCTTAAAACATTGCGATAATTATTGTAATAATTTCTAGCCATAAATCTAATTAATAGATATACAAAATCAATGTATTTAAACGGTTTCGCAACGAACTTAAATCCCTCATTCATTTGAACCGTGTTTTCCATATTTATAGTCAATTCGCGTGTTTTATCGCAAAGTGTTATAACATTTGTATCCATCAGTCCATTGAAACTTAATGTTATCAATACTTCAATCGGCACTTGATTTTCATTGCACTCAATCTGACAATCGCTGAGCCGTTGTCTCAATCCATGGGGAACTCCTGAATACAGACAAACCCCTCCGTTGGCCAACACATAGATGTTGTCAAACATATTGAATAAATCATTATTGGGCTGATGTATGGACGTAATGATTGACATATTGTTTTTGCGGGACAGTTGTCGCAAACATTGGGTTAACTGTAATATTAAATTGATAATATTTATAATAGAAAATAGTCATAGTTATAAATTTTTATAATTTCATTTATCGTACATCATATACAGGGGGGACACAAATGTGTGAGTATATAATTATGGCATAATTGTAAAAATCATACATAGGCTTGCCAACTCGTACAGATCTTCCTTGATTGTCAAGGAATGAGGGGTTTTGTCAAGGTGTAAGGCGAGGGAATGTAAAAGTCAAAGGTTTATGCACTTTTTTGATACTGTATGCAAATGTTTCATGTAACCTTACTATGCTTTGCTTTGGTAATAAACAAAATACGAGAATCTAACTAAAGTAAATAAATTTTAAAACTAAAAATATTTAAAATAACTAATTTCTGACATAAGTGGACAAATATTAAATAATATTTAAACTTTATGTAAATTTAATCAAAAACCAGTAAAATTACTGTTAAAATCTGCAATAAAAATGTTGGTCAAGGAAATGTCAAGGCGAATTCTTGAAATTTCTAAAATTATCAAGGAATGTGTGAGATTGAGTTGGCAAGCCTAATCATACATACAGTGAGCGCTGAGTGTGTGTCGAGACCAGTGGTCGGCTCATCGATGAACAGTAGGTATGGCTTAACAACTGATGTCAACTCCA